TTTTCGATAGAAAAGGCTTTGTGTGGAGGACAAAACCTGTGAGGTGGATTGTGATTGTGCCTGTGTGATTAGTCCCTTTGAAATGCCTTGCCTCTCTCGATGGGCTCTCATTGCGTCCGTCTTGCAGCTGCGTAGCCAGGCCAGTGGGTGGTGGGATCGTGGTCATAGGTTTTTTGTTTTGCGGGTGGGGTTGCGTGGCTTGTTGGGTTTGAGGTGAGATTCGTGGCGTGAGTTGCCAGGGTGCTTGTGGTGTGTCTGGAGGAATGCAAGCGGGGAATGTGCATGCATTGACAGGAGTCATGAATTTCCAGGTCCTTGGGTGAGGTGTTTTGTCAGGCGTTATGTGAGATGTTGGTGAGGCCAGTGCGTGGTCTGACGCGATTTTGATGAATTCAGGTGCTGTGGATGACTCTGGCGAAGTGATCGAGCTTGCCAAGTGAAGGACTTGGAAGGCGCAGAAGAGATCCATGGCTGCTTTTGTGGTGGCCGCGGTGGCCGCCTTGGGCAATCTTTTGCAAGGATGGGACGGTGGTGCCATTGCAGGTTTGGGTCAAGGCTGTACAGTTTTTTTGCAATTTGGGGGTCTGGATTTGTTGGGTTTTCGACGGATCACTGCATGATTAATTGAATCGAGCAGTCGGTCGTCTTGGTTTGAGGATTTCTTTCCGGATTTACAGTATCAACGGTGGTTGAGTGAAGATATATTTTTTGTTAATCTGTTCCAGTTGGTCGCTCCTGTTATCCTCAACTTCATTCATAGTCATACTTGCAAGTATGCCTTAATGAAATCGGAATCTTGCTTCAGGATACGTTTGTTTCGCGTGCCTTGAAAAACTCTTCCATGCTCTCACGTTTGTCTCAATCTTAGAGGGATGTTTCCGAGACACTGAGCCTGCTAATAAATGTTTACGCAACATTAACTGCAGTGGTTTCTGTCTCGTTTCCTATTCCGTCATGTACATTAATCAAGTGCTGGGTCCGCATGATAGTGTTTGATCGGATCGTGCAGTTCTCTATTTCCTGCGTCAAGTATCCGCGTGGAAAAGTGTTGGTTTTGGATTATTGGAGCGCAAACCTTAACTAATTTGCAGGATAACGAAATGTGCTATTGTAAATTTTCAACGATTAACATATTCGTCAACTGTTCGTTGTGGCGATAGTGCGTGTGGAGTTAAAAAATGTGTAACTCGTTCATTTTTGTATTTCTTGTGAACCGAGTATGATAATAGCGTTCGTTTTGTGTGTATCAGGAGCTCTTTTGTACTTGAAGCCCGAATTTCATTTGGAAGAAACACCTGCCCTTGAGGGTGAGGTGGTTGCATCCACTCTCGTGGGCGCAGTAGCCGCCGTGTGCATTGCAGGACCGTCTGCGGATTGGCTTGGTCGGAAATTCATGCTGTGCATATCCGGTGTTCTTTACGCAATTGCAGCTCTTGTGATGATATGGTCCCCTAATGTGTACATTCTCATCGTCGGACGTCTTACTGTCGGTTGTGCTATCGGATTGGCAGCTACAATAGCTCCGATCCTAATTTCCGAGTCGGCTCCTTCTGAAATTCGGGGTCAGCTCGCTACGTTCCCACAGTTCCTGGGATCAGGGGGGTTGTTTCTAGCTTATGTGATGGACTTCGTGTTCTCACTGCAGCCTCAAGTGAACTGGAGATTCATGCTTGGAATTTTATTCGTTCCAGCTGTAATGTATGTTGGTCTTGGACTGGTCGTACTGCCGGAATCACCACGGTGGTTGGTTAGCAAGGGTCGTATGAACGAAGCGAAGAAGGTGTTGCAGAAGATTCGAGCCCGAGATGATGTTGATGGTAATTCCATACTTTGGCACTTTCTGCAAATCGTGGACATTTTAGGCCAGTGACTTTCGTTTTGTTGTCTCGCTTTGTGGTCATGCGTCGAGTTCTGTACATGGGGAGCTGCATTTGACACTGGAACGAGAATGTGTGATTCAAAAATCAAATTATGCTTCATTATGGGACGTGAGGCCCATATTGGGGGAACTATATATTCAGATCTAGTGAATTTGCATCTGTACTTGTGGTGGTGCCAACGGGCTTTGTAGTTCTTCTCTGAATTGAGTCATGTCTTGGCTGATGCAGGGGAGATGTCTTTGCTGGTTGAGGGTTTGGGAGTTGGTGCTGAAACCCACATTGAGGAATGGTTATTGAAGCCATCTGAGAAGCTCGCGAAGGAAGATGACGAGGATTCGGTTATCGAAGAAGGTCAAATTAAGCTGTTTGGTCCAGATGATTCAACATGGGTTGCAACTCCAATCGTTGACGAATTTGGTCACTCCATAGCAAATACTCTTTCTAGGAGTGCAATGGCGGAGAGTCGCCTGTCTCAGTTTCTAGATCCCGTGGTAACAATGATGGGGAGTGTTCAAAACAGTTTCCATGATATGGGCTTCATGTCCCACGATGACGATGAGAACAGATGGGATGAGGAGAATCAGGAACCTGGGCTTGAGACGTCGCTGCTTTCTGGTGCGCCTATGTCTCGCAACAATTCCAGGGGTGCTGGTTATACACGGTCTGACTCACAATCTAAGAATCGAAGCAATATGTCACGACAAAACTCTAGGTCTCGCAGCAGACGGCAATCCAGGTCTGGATTTTCTGGGCGCCACTCAAGGTCTTACTCCAAGAACATTGCACAGGATGGACAGTTGTCCGAGTTTTCCGGCAGTGTTGGTGTGGGCGGTGGCTGGCAGCTTGCGTGGCGATGGGATGAAGGTGCGAAGGACGGCGAAGAAGCAGGTTTGAAGCGTGTATTCGTTAGAGGCGATGGTGGTGATATGTCACAGTATAACTCCACTATGTCTCTCCCGGGAGTCCAGCCTCAGGAGGATCATGAATCTTTCCAGGTAATTCGGCCATGAACAAAACCTGTCCATAGGAGAGCCTTTGTGCATGAGATTTATGAATGAGGTTTTCTCAGGCAGCGCAGTTGGTAATCTCTCATGAAACTGTACCGAACTCAATTTTTTACCTGGACTTATTGCACCTATTGCTTTTTAGATCATTTGCTATTCATTCATGTGATTTTCCACTAACGATTTTTGATTCGTGCAGGCTCAAGTTATTGTTGCTCAATCGTCACTCTTCTCAAAAGAATTGTTGGAAGAGCATCCAGTTGGGCCCGCTATGATGCATCCTGCAGAAACTGCAACCCGAGTGCCTCCAGTTCAAAACTTGTGGGATGCCGGTGTAAAGCGTGCACTCTTCGTGGGAGTAATATTGCAAATTTTGCAGCAGGTAAATGACTTCACAACGTTGTATAATTGTGGTAGCTGCTAGGAACTCCTGCAATGGTCAATCGGGTACTCTGATGAAGGATTCAGTTGGGATACACACTATAATAAAGTCGCTGTGGATGTATACCGCCCTGGATTTCCATTTCATTTCCAACTTGACACGGAGTAGAGTGTCTGTCCTGACACTTGATTCTGACCTTCAACCCGCGCGTGCAGTTTTCTGGCATCAATGCTGTGCTATACTTTACCCCCCAAATTCTTATGCAATCTGGAGCCGGAGACATACTGATTAAATTTGGCCTTGATGCGGAATCCTCCTCAATCTTGGCGAGTGGTGTTACGTGCTTTCTCATGCTGCCTTGCATTTTCCTTGCCATGAAGCTGATGGACGTTTCTGGCCGCCGGTAATGTTCTGTATACCTGCTACCATGTTTCCACCTAATCTGTATATAATTTCGGAGTGTTTCACTTCCTTTTCTGCTACAAAGAGGCAGATTTATATGCTCTGTTTATGTGCTTGCTCCTTCGTGTTTCTGTCTGTTTCACTCGGGTTTTAGCACAGCGCTGTGGTGAAGTCTGTCATTGCCGACTGAAATGGCGTTTTTTTGATTTGTACTTTTTTGTGGCTCTTACTAATGGTCATGTGCTAGAGTAAAGCCGTGAGTGAAATAAACGTTTTTGCCCAATTTTTATGTTAACGACCAATGCTCCACTTTATTCTTCTATTTTATATTTTTTCACTCATACTTAGTTGTTTGTGTATGCAGAGGATTGCTATTGACGACATTACCGGCCCTTACTGTCTCCTTGGTAGCACTTGTGATTGTGAACCTCTTCAAGGCAACTGGCCTCATTCCTGCACTGATCTCCTTCATCTGTGTGACGGTTTTCATTTGCTCATTCGTGGCTGGCTTTGGCCCGATCCCCAACATCCTCTGCTCCGAGATTTTCCCCACTCGGGTCCGTGGCACCTGCATCGGAATCTGCGCTGGCGCCATGTGGTCAAGCAACGTGTGCATCACGTACGCGTTTCCGATCCTAAACCAGCACTTCGGACTACAAGGAGTGTTCGGCTTCTTCGCCATAGTCACTTTCATAGCCTGGATTTTTGTGTTCCAATACGTCCCGGAGACGAAAGGCCAGCCCCTGGAGATCATTTGCGAGATCTTTGCCCTGGCTGCAAGGAGTGCTGGGAAAAGGGATCGATACGATGATGACTACTAATCTTTCCACGAGGTAGGTGACCCAAATTATGAGACCCAATCCTTCCTCTGCAACATGCGTTTTGTGTACCGTATCCCCTTTTTGTTTCGATGAGGACAAGCTTGGCTTTGTAACGGACTGTCCATTTCGTGACGATGGGGGCCCTACAAGCTGCCGAAAGGAGACACCCAGTGGGGGAAGAGTTTGTCTAGTCATGTGTTTACAACTGAGCAGAGGGATATAAGGTTTTCTATGGCGATGCAGGATTTATTAGGAGGGGTTTTCCGACCTTTATTCCATTAGTGTGGATCTGGGCTGTATTGATCAGTTGCAGACCTTCAAAAGCAGCAGCAGATATGGCTTCCGACTTTGTGAAGTGCTCTGTTCAGCTGTGGATGTGCTTGCAGTTGGGGAAGCTCAACTCATAGCTCTTTCCTGACTGGTGTAATACACTCATGTTTAGAATTGATTCCATGTTTCCTCTTTCTCACTTGGATGGGATTTGCTCACTCTCCAGTTTCCGGTTGCTGTGTCCTGTTTAGTTTTCATGAGACGTAGCTGGCTCTGGTGCTTGTCACATGTTTACTTGTGCTTTTCATACATTGTTGATTGCTTTTTGAGGTTGCATCTACAGTAGAATTGAAGATGATATATATATATATATATATATATATATATAGATGTGTGTGTGTGTGTGTTTGTATGCTTTTATTGTTGAAGATGAATACTGAGAGCTGTCAATTTGTCCGAGTCATCTAACTTAAATAATATAAAATGGTAAATATGTTAATATGAATATATATATATATATATATATACATGTACATACATACATACATATATGTGTGTGTATGTATATGCTTTTTATTCACAGTATAATTATTAATAAAATTATTTTATGATTTCTTTCTTGCAAAACTGAATAGGTCTTCTAGACTTTTGTTTCTTTTATTGATGACTTGTATGTATCTTCGCCCTTACAACATCTTCCTTAATTTGTAAAATTGTATTTCTTCCTGCAATAAAAAAAACATTTCATGTATATATCTATATATATATATATATATATATGTACGAATGTACGCATGGATATATATAATGAATAAATGATTAATGCTCAGGGCTTTGGATTTTTTCCTTGTTTGAAAATGGTGTTCTATTATGGACTATGTATCCCATGAATTTGTAAGTTATAGATCTACAGAGTTTATTGATTGTTTCACAAAGCCTTGAGAATGAACTAAATATATCCACGTTTTGTAAATATGAGCATATATATACACACACATGCAAGTTGGAATCATATTTGATTATATTTATTTAAGACAATTAAGCATTACAAATCAGCAATTTATTAATAGCAAGTGAATTGTGAACTAGTTTTTAATAGTAGGATCATAATAAGATAACAAGAAAATATAGAATTATATTCATGGAAATGAGTGAATGAATTAAAATAAAAAAGATGAAAAAAAAGATGAAAAAATTCCAAATTTTAAATTAAATTATGTTCACTCGTTTAATTATACACACCCACATACATACTTTCCACATGAATATCTCTTTGAAGCATAGTAAAAAGAAGAAAAAATATACAGATATTTCAATTTATATCACAAAAAATTATATATTAATGCAAAAAATGTAAAAATGTAAAAATAAAAAACAACAATGCAATTTTGAGTGCATGCCCATTATGCATCATCCATCAATCGAACGAACGTGTATCAACCACCAGTCAGATGAGCCATCTTTCATCCACAAGTTGAACGAATTGTGTATCATCCATCAGTTGGACGAGCCCCTTATCAGGTTATCATCTGGATGATAAATGTATCATTCATCCATTCAAGAGTAGGGGAAGTCTCCAGTCTGCGAAGTGGGGGTTCACCGACACCGAGATCAGCGATGTGCTTCGACAGATTGGAACAAAAGATTATTGTCCTGCTTTTTCTGATTGTGCGATGACCCTCTTCAGTCGCATGCCGCTGTAGCGAGGTGCCCCAATTTGAGCTCCACCGGCTGCGATCGCCCTATCAATGCATTGCTTCAGCGGACGCACCAGGGACGAGTTCAGAATGCACGCCGCAGCGGAAGCCAATACGCGCGAAGCCCAGGTAATCCTTGATTGCCTTGCTCCTGTTTAAACGTATGATTTCAGTAGAAACGAACATCGAAAGTTCGTTGGTTAACTTGGTCATGCCCACCTTGTATTGCAGTAATGTGCCCACAAAATTCATGTGCGCGCGTCTGTGTAGTTGCTGAGGTTTTTTCTGCTTCGCTCAGGATCTTGAAATTAGCCCTAAATATAGGTGTGGCAATAGGACGGACAATGTGTTCGTCTCAGCATAATCGCAGTATGATGGAGGGGTAGGCGAGGCTCGAGAAGAGTCTGCGTTGAGCTGAATTATATATGCAGTGCCTGGACTCATCTGGAGACCATGTTTTGTGGGGCATAAGAGAAGTACATGTAGTATTGCATTGATCCGGTAGTGAGTGTTTTTCTGAAGGTAATTACCGCAACTTTGTAGCTCTTTGTTACTACTTCAAGGTAAATCATACGCTGAACCAGGTAATCTTTGCTGGTGATGGATGCAAAAGATTGCTGTGCTCACAAAAAAACTGAGCATAATGAGTGTTTTGGCTCTTACCTTTCTTTGTGTTCTTTATTAAAGCTTTATACGTAACTCCGCTCTTCTCAGGATGGGCCCCAGAAGCTGCATTATACCGTATTTGATGTGGGTGTCAGCGAAGTTCGAAGTCTTGTATTTCAAGAGAGTTGATTGAACACTCACAATTGTCCTCGGGTCCTGCTGATTCCTCACATCTTGCAGCTACGTATTACTCACAAGAGAAGGACAAATCACGGTCATGGTGGCTAAAAGCGGTGAACTCTATCACGCATCCAGAGCGTGAAATACCGAAGCACTGACAAGTTCGAGAACATCCTTGACGAGCTCATCATGGATATGAATACCCACATACCCAGACTCGTTACTGGAAGAAACCATTGTTATGCTTAAATTGAATTTTGTGCAAAACCTGCACCGAACGTAGATAATACCAGTTTATGCACCTGACGCTTTGGCCGCATGTAATCCTGTGATTAATTCTCCGAAGCATTGCTGTCTAAGGGCATCCCTAGCTTATCTATCTTTTGGATATATGACCCAGTGGCTCAATGGATGGAGCTTGAGTATCAATTTCTTCTGCCCACAAGTAAATACTTCGTGTGCATTCATGTGAGACCTAGAAGCTCACGGAAGAACCCATCCCCTTGCATCACTTGTGCTTCTCTTCACGTGAGTTATCAATCAATGGAGTTAAGTGAACAGTTGTGGAGCGTTGCCAATTGATCGTTGCGTGCTTGGTTTGTATCGCACTCAGTTGAGTTTAGCCGTGGGGTTGAGGAGGGAATTTAGGCATCGGCAGCGCTCAGTTTTCTGGTTTTCGTGATTCTGCTTGTGTGTGTCCCCTGCTTCAAGCATCATGGACGACAAATACTCCGCCTGCAAAGCTGTCGCTGCAAGTGCCGACGTCACTGCTGTCCAGAATTTTGGGTTCAGAGGTTTGATGGCAGCATTCGTATTTTGTGATAATTGTGGGGATTGCATTCCTCAGCTTTGACGTTGGTGACAGAGAGCTGAGGTTGCTAATCCTTTTGAATTTATTGGGATTGATATGTGGATATTGCATTCTTGAAGTCGATGTACGTGCTTATCCATGATCGTTGGATCTATGGGGATGGGGAAGGTTGTCCTTGTATCAGATCTTCGATAGGCTCTTAGTTGCAAACACAATGCAGACCAGGTTATGTTTAGATTTTACTTTTTTAGATGTTTAATGCAATGCTCCTCGATCATGGGCTCTACAGAGACTTCGTTGCGGAGGAAAAGGTGACTCTCTGCATAGTTGGGGAGTTTGTGCCTTTCCGTCGAGTATGAAGTTCTAATGCTTCGAGTACTGCCGAAGGGTTTGATAGCAGATTATTGTTTAGAGTGCGGAACGCTGAATATTCAGTGGAGAGGTCACATTTCAGCTTGATGTAGATAGTCAGTGCTGCTGATAGGGTTTGATGTATCTGCTCCGGATGGACGGTTCAATCTAGTTGCTGCAAACTTGCACTGGAGTTTTTCAGTCTCCTGAACATTACAGAAGAACAAATCAGTGAAATATTGCTATGGACTTTTATGTGGATGCTTATGTCATTATAACGCCGAACACCTTATAGCATGGCTGACATGTGTGAAATGCACTTCTCTCACTCTATACTCCTGGATGTAACTAGCTGAAATTATCTGTTGCAGGAAAGACCCAGAAATCATTTGGATTTTCGTCACCGGCTTAATTCGGAGGGCCAAGGTGAAGGGAAAGTGTTTGAATACAGGTACGTCTTCTCCCCATTCTTTCCTGGAAAAAATATCATCTATTTGACGCTGTCATTTTCCACGATCTGTTTCTTGAATTAGTAAAGCACTTGTGTGTAGGAAATGCGTGCATGGATGCTAGAGTGCATGAATTCGGGCAAAAATTTGGGCTATTTAAATCTGATTTTCATTAGGTAGGTAGGAAGGATGTACCACTGATTAGTATACTCTATTTCAATTGCAGTTCGGCATGCATCGGAGCTAGATTCTAGGCTATTGTGGAGTGTTATGGTCGGTAAGTTGCACGTGTTTAAATCAGCCTAACATCATGTAGGTTAATGTTGTGAATTTCTTTTAGGTAACAATTCATGATAGATTTTGGCTGCAGCAAGATCTAGAATAAAATTTTCGGACCTATAACTTTATTTTCTGATTCATAATGGTCCAAATTCTCTAGCCATGTGATGTGTCAATATGGCGTGTAGTAGCGAAGCGCTAATTTCTCCACTTTCTGAACTTCCATGGTCTTATATTTCCTTCATGTCATTTTCTTTGTGGCAGGCTATATGAGACCACTGAAGAGTAGGATAACCATTAAGACTTGAATATTTTTTTTAATTGTAGCATATCAAGTTAAAACCAATACGAGTAAATACATACCAATACGGTAATCTTTGTTGTCGCGTTGGCTGAACTAAATGAGCTGGTTTAAATGTTCTAGTTGTAATGCGCAGAGAGAGCGTATTGTTGAGACATATTTGGTGTTAGATTTCATCGTAGTCTTTCTCTGAATGAAGATCCGATGGTATTATTTTGTTTGATCTGTTCGTGGGAGTACGTTTAAAATTCATTGATAACAGTTGACTGGAAAAAAGTTGAGTCTGAGAGGGGCTGCTACTAATGAGGTTGAATGGGTGTGCGAGCAGCCCAACAAGAGTTGCAAAGAATTTTTGTGCGTCATCTGTTCCTCTTCATCGTGACTTAGCTTCTGTTTTTTCAAATATAATCACTTGACCTTTGTAGTTCGTCTTGTATTTCTCCACTCATCGTCCACTTGAATAATTTGTGTTCTCTCTGAAGTTTCCCTTCACCTTTATTGTAACGAATTCAACTCCTTTTGTCTCCACTTTTACTCATCTTATGAATTTTCTGTGTGGCAATAGTGAAGCAATATCGGCAGCTCATGACGAAGATTCTAAACTGAAGAAAACGAAAAGGTCGCAACAGTAGGTGCAGGTCGTCACGTCGGAAAGAAAGCAGAAAAAACCGCAAATGATGTATTAGCTGACGCAGAAGATGCTTTCAGCACAGGCAATGATGTTGAGATTTAAAAGACTTTATGTTGCATTTTTAAGTGGATCATTGGTGTTAGTTGAGTTCACAATATTAAGGACAATTCTAAAACAGGAATTTTTTGTCCTTAGTTTATTTTTGAGATACAAGGCGTTGTTGCCCAGGAACAGAGATTGTACAATGAACTAAGTTTGTTGATTGCACCTAATTACCTTAGATTAAAAGTATTCCACTGCATTCTAGCTTCTATGGAACACACATTAGAAGGTTGTGAAGTTATACGTTTGTGAAATAACCTTAGTGGATCAGGGCCAATCGAGCGAGACATTGACCGTATGGGTAGGAAATGGGACTATGCATCGGAGAGTGCATATAAAAATACTTGAAAAAGTATTTCAGGGTTCGTCCCTGTTACAGTTGTCGTTGTGGCTGCTAATGACGTGCTTTAATTTGGATGAAGACTCAATCAAGAAAACGTGTCGTAGATTTCTTTCATTTTAAATTTGTTAACCAAGCCAATGCTACTTAGCTGCGTTTACGTATCATCTCATGTTTGCGTTGCCATGTTTCTCATTGTGTACTTAAGTCCTTTTCTATTGCAGTAATCTTACAGACTATATAGTGTCTCTGCAGTAATTCCTTGATTTCCTTCACCTTAATTGGTGCAGGTGACGCACTGAAGATGTACCGAAGAAGTGATCACCACAGTACATTCTCAATACTAGCACATTCCTCTCTTTAATGGATTTAAGCGCTTGTTAGGAATTGTTGTATCATATAATTGTTATCGGGCATTATTCCAGCTCGATCTTTGAACTTCCCTTGTACCATCAAGTTGACTTAAATGGAGGGACATGGGTCCCCAAGGCCTTTTGTTGTCAAATTTCACTATATTACCATCATTTATGATTTGTTCCGATACTTGGGCGTGGTCCGCAGTAGTTCGGAAGCAATCGTTTATAAGCCACGAACTTGAGTAGAATCAGAATCGGCAACCTTGTTGAAAAGTATTTGAGCGTGAAGACCTGTCAATGGCATGTGGGGTTTCAGGCAAGACACATGTGTTGTATCCTGCATAGGAGACAAAGCTCATGCAGACACACAAAGACAGACAGAGGCTTGATGACAGATGTTACGTGTGATGGAGCATGCCGAAATTTATATATATATATATATATATATATCTGTTAGTGTGTGGGTATGTATGTATAGTATAGCCACAGGTTTCTTTATTTTATAGGAAGTTAGGTGTACATACTGCACCTATTTTAGTTTTATTCAACCTCTGCCCTTCTCCCAAAAAGAAGTAAAAAATATGTATATACAATTTAATGTTTATTTGAGTAATATTTATCTTCAGACAGTGGCCCATTTATTCTACGCTACAGTTGAACCATGGTGCCAGATATCTTGTTTACAAAAAGTCTCTTGTTTTGATCCTTCATCCATCAGTGAGCAGCCAGTGCTCCGTATTGAAAAAGTTGCCTAAATGCTCGTATTCTCACTTCGTCATCACGGAGAATTCAGAATCCACAAATAACTCAACATGAGTGAGAAATTCTCCTTTTTTTATTTTCTATTTCTTGATTACAATCCAACGCGGATTTTCATTACCTCAGACAGTTTCAAAATGAAAATCACTGCGGAATATTGAAACCAATAAGGATGTTCGTGCTTCTTATTCTTTTTTATGTAGGAATTAAACACAAAAAATAAGGCTGATAGAAAAGAAACAAGTAAAAAATTAATGTGTAAACCTTGAAATTTGCAGTTCTTAGACTATGTTATGACCTGTAAAGAAAGGATTGATATTAGGATCGTCAAGCCCCACAACCTTCCATGGTGTCTAGATATATATCATCTATCCCCGGCACATGCATTCTAGCTGGTTTATCGAACAGTGAGTCTAATCGTAAAACGATCGGATCGTCTCGGTCATGCAAATCCCCTCAAACCTTCGCAGTTTTACTTCTTGATGAAAGCTCTCTCTTATGATCACGAGGAAACTGAAGATGAGGATGTTTGATCTGGAATCTGAGCTGGCTCAAAAATTCAACTCATGTTGTCGGTCTCGACCACCGAGACAGTCCAATGCAGACATTCGTGTACGAAGTCTTCGATTTCCAAGCCAGCATCGACCGTCACTAAATGAATTCGCGGAGGGTAATCAGCATTCAGAGTGCTATCTTTAGACCACACTGCAGACAAATTCTCCTGATTCTCGAGCACCGCGTTAACAATCCATGCTTACTTAATTGAAGCCATTCGAAAGTCTTCGAAATGCGACGAATGTGAGGGAAGAAGAAACAAGCATCAGACTGATGCCTACTTGCATGCTGAAGAGGCGACCACGCTTCAAAAGCAATCGAATCATTCCAAAGAGACGGCAAAAAACGTCGAAGTCACAAATGTGCAACTCTGAGTTACAGTAGCCAGGACCTGTAGCGGGCGGTGTACGTAGCCCCCATGACGCGCGGTGTGGGCAGCGGCGACGCCCCTGTGCGCGGGGGCCAGAATCAACCATGTTGCATCACGAGGTCCACACGACGGGCACACGACAAGGCATGACAACATCATGGCCAGGGTTCGGCGACCCCAACCTTCAAAGGGACCCGGAGAAAGGTAGAAAAGAAAGTCCATGGTTGCAAGGCAGACATTTCGTGACGAGCACCAAGGCCTCGGCCTGCTCGTGGCCTGCGTCGAGAAAGTCGCGGGACAGTTTGACGCCCCCCCCATCGACACACACTAGAGACCCTTTTTTGTGTAGAAAAAACTCGCTCCCTTTTTCTCCAGTCCTCGCCACAAACACTCCGCTTTCTTGCGAGATCACCAACTTATTCCGGCATCCACTCATCCCTAGATTGTTGAAATTTGGGAGTCCAGATGCTGGCTGTGCCCTCAAATCCAGCCCTGCCGGACTGCAGCAGTATAAAAAAATCCCACCACTTTCCGATCTCTGCTCAGAAAAAGTTGTCACTAGCAACCAAGAGGAAACAAACAATCAATCAAACAAATACACACACTGTCGTTCACTGTACACCATCCTCACTGCAGCGCCATCTAGTCGACAGACTCATAAGCTCTCATTAATTGCCCAACTCTTTGTCCCCACCCACCCATGCGTGCGTTTGTTTGCGTCAGGTAGTCCAGACTGAAGCTTCTGGAGCCTCGAAATGGGGGTAATCGCGATCCAGACACCTAGAAATCGCTGCTTGTCTAGAAAATCACGCGAAGCTCAATTCGACTCGCATCCAACAGTGTGCGATTCCATTCCAGACTCTTGGTGGTCACCTTTCTCAGTTCTTCGAAGCAGTGCAGTGTCACTGATATAGTTCATTTTTGTTTGTGTTCAACACCACCTCATTGCGATCTTCAAACACGAACATATATTTTGATTGTATGATTTAGTACGTATATATATATACATATATATACATATATTTATGTCAAATCTCTTATATATTAAACTACAAATACATTAAACGATTGTGAGACTAGTGTGCATTCGTTTGTGTTCAATGTGTCATCACTTACTGTGATCTTAATACATTATTACATGGATTGATTGTATGATTAGTGTTCTCAGAAATGTATAACTTGGATATGTGTTAAACTCTTTCAGAATGTGGGTTTTCTCTTGTGTTGACTTGTGTCAGTTTATGTGATGTGAGTTTTACAAGCCTTTGTGGTGGTTTTCCTCTTGTCAAAGTCAGTGTGCATGTGAAAAGTTTTTGGATTAAAAGAATTTCTATTTATTTTGTTCTTCAATTGTGGCAAATACTCTTTGCTTCTGCAACTGAGTGACCAAGGTTTATTGCCAGTTTCAATAAATTAATACCATTTGTTATTTTTAGAATGTGCATTAGATTGGATGGAATTTCGTGTTTGAATGATTATGTTTTATTGTTTTTTAAAAATGAATGTATGTTTTAATGCTCTTTTGTAACATTGTATGTGTTTGTTTCTACCAAGATTTCATTTCATCATCAATGCTTGTGGTGTTGTTTTATTAAAAATTTGTTTTCATTTCAAGGATTTGATACCTTTTGAATCTCACTTCTATGACCAAACTTAAAAGTTAATTGTAAAAGAGAGATTACCAACTTTAAACATTGTATTTTTTTTCATGTTAAACTTTCTAATTCTCATATATTATAATACACCTATTATTATTAAGGTTTTCTTAGCATTCTAGAGATTTTATCTAAAAAAATTCAAAATAATATCTTTTTTGTTTTAAAAAAGAAAAAAAGAAAAAAGAAGTGAATTAAAATTTATACTACTGTTAGACAACACGGCTATATTTATAGTTAACTAAATAGATATTTTGATTATTATTTTTTTTTTTCATAAATCTACTAACAATGAAAAAATAATTGACTATTTAAAATTTTACTCATAATTTCAAAAAAAATTGATTGGAATTCAATATTTTATTATAAATAATTTCCAATAAAATTTTTAAAAGAAGATATTGGTATGGTAATTTGTCATTTTCAAAAATTATATTAGTTGTAATAATTTTTGTCTTAAATTTATAAATCTCCCTCTAAATTGAAATTTATACCATTTTGAAATATAATACTTTAGACCATTTTCCAAGACTAGCTACTGTCTTTAGTTTGTGCCATGACTTCTATATGCAAAAAACTTTGTCATATCAAGTTGTTCAATTTCTTTTTTAAATCTCTTTTCTATTAGTTATAAATTAATATTATTTATTAAAATATCAATGTCCTTTAAAAGCTTCTATAATTTTGATTTAAATTTCAACTGACCAAATCTGTAATCCCTTTAAAAAGGTATAACTCTTGACCAATTTACATACTTTTGAAAATATATTTAATTTATATAAAATAATCTAATACATTTCTAAAGAATAATTTAATGCTACAAATAAATAAAATGCATCAATTTTCTAACTTTTTGATGTGTGTGCCTCAATATTTTCTCATATTAGGAGATTCCTTGAAGTGGGTCCAAATCAAATTCACATTTTCTTTCTATTTGCTAATCTACTATGAAAGACATGATCTCTTAAGAAAGTGAAAGACCTGAATCTTTTTTCCTTACTAAGATTGCAATATATATATTAGAATCTCAAAAAAAAAAAAAAACTTCTTTTTATTATATGTTGTTTTTAGAAAAATATTACAATATAAATAATATACATAATTAATGATTCAAACTCAAAAAAAGGTAGAACTTTCTTGTCAAAAAATTCTAATTATTTCTAAGAATTGAAATAATAAAATTGTAGTTTCTGTGCTATTAATATTTTATTACAATAGAGAAATTAGTAACAATAAAAAGTAAAAACATTTATTTAACAATCACCTCAATTTAAATAAATTTTCATATTATCTTTTAAATATGTTATATTATAATTAAAATTGACCCATTTCAAAGGATTAAATATATCCAAGAATAAACATGTGTAAACTTATGTTACTTAGCAATATCTAC